TTTTTTTTTTTTTTTATAAACTTCCTAACATTTAAAATATTATAATTTATTGTTATTACTTACCCCATCTATCGTAATTTGCTTAAACTAGCATTTATCATCTCTTTACTATTACATCTTTTTACAGTTAAACTTAATTAATATAAAGAAAAAATAATAATAATAATAATATTTCGGGAGCAGCAAAAGAAAATAATAAAATGTTGAAAGTGAAAAATTGTTATCAAACGACATAAAACTTTTATACACACACACAAAAAAAAATGAAGAGTTGGCAACCTTCCAAACTACCTAGAGACACCTAGTAGATAGGTAAAGAAATAAAAATAATGGAAAAATTTTCGATTTAAAGGTAATGTTCTGTAGGAATAACATCAGTTTAGATTGCTTCTAACCGGAAATTTCGGTCGTTTGTTTGATTGCAAGCTTTTCAAATCGAAAATTCAGTGTCTTAACTTCTTTCTTCAAATGTTACAATTAGTCACGTGTCACGAAAATCATCAATTAGTCACGTGTCACGTTTATCCTTGAAGCTATGCTGTTGATATTATTCAATTTCCGAAAGAAATTATAAATTATAAATTGGTGAGGAATAAAGAAAAAAAAAAGTATATATATATATATAGAGAGAGAGATACAAATATAGTGACAAGGGCGTTGTATTTTATAGAAGAGATAAGTGAATAATGAGTCTTCTTTTGTAGCAAATTGGGTTGGGTCTATTATCTTCATCATAATTAGAATATTAACTTTAACAGAATTGTACATTCTGATATACAATACCAAAGTGTTTAAAGGTCAAATAATAATAATTATTATTTTTCCCCAAATTTTTATTATAATTAAGGAAAACTGGGTTAATTGGGTGAATATTCTTTGTTGAAAATAATTACTTTAAATTTTGTTTACTCATTTTACGAATTATTTCAGAAATTTTGTTAAAATTCCTATTTAATTGGCCGAATATCTTTTCAAATTTCGTCCATCTGACGAATTTCATCGGCAGGTGGCGTCAAGAAATTATAGTTTGCTATCTGGAAATATATATTCATTTAAAATATATATTCTTTCTGCTAAATATTATAGAAAACTTCTATAATATGTAAAATTCGGGCGAATTTTTTCCTATATTTCACTATTGCGTTTCCATTAAAAAATTCACGAAATGTACGAAAATATTTCAATTATTTTTCATGAATTTTAAAATATTTAATGCATTATTTCTTGAAATATTTTTCACGATTTTTCTACGAAAAGATGTCGGAAAGTAAATCATCATTTTGCAGAAATCTAAGAAAAGATTCCAGAGAAATATTCAACTGAACAACTTAAAATTCTTTCTACAATTAAGAACGAAACTAAATATTTTTTTTTCTTTTGTGAAGATATTAATGTACAATACAGTATATACAGTAAAACCTGTGCAAAACGGAACTTGAATAAAAGGGAAACCTGACTAAACAGCAAGAAGTTCTTCGAAACGGAGCGATTTTCTATATTTAAAAAAAAAAAAAGTTTAAAACGGGAAACTGCCAAACCGGAAGAAATATTCGGTACCGGGTGATTCCGGCTTACACAGGTTTTACTAGATAGATTCAGAAAAATTTCTGTAGAAATTTCTCCGCTTGTAAGAAGATTATAAGACGATTCCTTCAATTAGGAAAAAATCCTTTATTGAATTTCCAACAAAGATTTTGTTTTATATTTCTGAAATTTGTCTTTATGGAAAGGGCAAATATCCATTTTTCTGCTTGATTATTTTTTTACGTCTGATTAAACAAATTCTTTATTTTCTATCACATCCATCTTTCTACAGTTTGAATTAAGAGGATTTACAATTGCGAATAAGCGGATTTACTTCATTTTTTTTCCCTATATTATAAAATTAATTTAATTTAAGAATTTGTCGACTGATATTTTTCTTTAATGTTTCTTATGCATTCAAACTGATATTTTTTGTAATTTTTTGGTGAAGGTTATACTTGCGAGGCCCATTATGGTTAATTATCAAGACGACGAGTGCGCTACAGATTTCGATGAAAGCGATTTCATCACGGAATGCCTTGAATGGCATAATATTCTACGTGAAATTCACGGTGTTCCACCCCTCACTTTATCTCATCAGGCAAGTTCCTATGCGAAATCCATTAAGATTTTCTCGAAATTTTGTATTATCGTGCGAAATTTTTCCAGTAAACGAGAATAATTCTTAAAAATTCCAATGAAATGCAACGTACATCTTCGGATTTTTAAATATTTAAAATAGGATAATATCTTTTTATACGGAAATTAATTGCATATTATCTTAATCTTTCTAGCTCTGTAGCATGGCTCAATTTTGGTCCAACCACTTGGTACACACCAATACATTTTACCACAGAAACAGTAAAGATATAGGTGAAAATTTATTCTGTAAATGGTCATCGGTGCCAGAATTTGATATTACTGGTAAGGAATACTTTTTTTTAAGATAAAATTATGTTAGAAATTTTTAAAAATTCGCTCGAAAATTTGAAAATTTACCAAAAAAAAAAAAAAACAAAAAAACTGCAATTTATTCAAACAACAAAAGATTTAACTTAGTTCATTAATCACTTTCTTCATTCTTCCTCTTGATCTTCCAGGACAGCAAGTGGCCAAATATTGGTATAGTGAGATGAAACTGTATAATTTCTATCAAGAACCGTCTTTGTTACACGTTCATGCTTGTAAGTTGAAATTTTTTATATTATTTTTACATATTTTATCTAAAAATTATTATAATAGCATAAATTACTCATTATAATAACAAAATTGAACTTTATTCTCGCACGAAATTCGCATATTATCTTGTCAACAAAATTTTTATGCCGTTTCTAAGCATAATTATGTATCATTTCTTTAATCACCGTTTAAATTGTTAAACATACAAAAGTATTTCTTGGAAATGTCAAGAATCTTTTAATAATTTCATTTAAAAATGAATCATTTCGAAGCTATTTACATTTTAAATACTTTAAAACGTGACTCAAACAGTTTCCAAATTTTAATGGCATTTCTCTAAGACAATTTTTGAAGTTTGATTCATAAATTATACATCTTAAAAGTGAATTTAATTAACATAACTTTAAAATTTTAATAGAAAATTACATGGAAACACACAATTCTTGATAAAATTCCAATTTTGTTGCAAATTTCTCAATGTTTTTTTTTTCTTTTTTCGGATTCTGTTTTCAATGTAAAAATCATTGAATTACGATGTCTAAAATCAATTGAAATTCTATTCCTACGGATAAAACGCCCTTGAACTTTTGTACTTGTTACCTATTTTGCATACTAATGTCCCCTTTACCCCCTCTTTTCAAATATTCAATCAATCAAGTTGATGGCTAGAGTGATTTTTTTATTGAAAAAAAATTATAAATTTGATACTGTACTAGCTATTTATATCGCACACATACATTTTTAAATTTAAATTTATATACTGATAAGATTTTTAACCTTCACTTTTATCGAATTTTATTTTTTTAAAAATATAATATATTCCATTAAATCTTGTTAAGTTTTCTGATAAACTTGGATTATTAAAAAGTGTAGAGTAGAAAATTGACTTTTTTACGTTGCATTTGATTAAAATATATAAAATCTAAATTGAAAAATAACATGAAAAAATCATAAATTGCAACAAATTATGAGAAAACTGAAAGAAAGATGATGTAGATATGCTTCAGATCTTTAAAAAAGAATCCATAGGATGGAAGATATTGCAGAATTTATAATGTATAAGCTTTTACAGCCTGTGAATTCGTGCATTGAAAATGTCAGAATGTGAAAAAGGCTTCAGAATTCTATTGATTTGAAAGAGGTGTGATGTGTAATGCCATAACTTACGAAATCTACAGCGTGAAAGATAACTTTAAATTGCAAAATCTATGGTTAAAAGTCATTAGAGTACTTCATTCATTCAAATCTAAGGCTAGAAATGTGTACTTTATATTAATTTAGGTTAAGAAATCTTTAAAGATGTACAGTATCTAGCTTAAGATCAGAAATAGTTTGCTTTAGTTTATATATAATATATATATGTGTGTGTATATCATGAAAACTAAGCACCTTACAAGTGAATAAGCATTAGCTTATCAACTACAGTATTTTTCACTCGTTAGGTGCTTAGTTTTCGAGATGATATATAAGCAGATATATGTGAATAGATATAATCTGTTGGTATGATTTACGAAAGAACATTTACAATTGCGACTTGCGAAATGTAATTACGACAATTGTAAGTTTTGCAATTATATTTCAGGCCAATTTACGCAAATGGTGTGGAGAAGCAGCACGGAATTTGGAGTTGGCAAAGCTAGAACTAGATGTGGCAAAATCGTTATTGTAGCAAATTATAAACCAGCTGGAAACGTAATTGGAGAATTCCACGATAACGTATTCCCTCCTTTAAAAGAAACAGAGGAGAACGAAGAAACAGAAGAGGATGATTTCGGAGAATGAAGCAAAATCCATCGTCATCATCCGACTGATACCTTGCTTCATATTTGGTTTAAAAAACAAAACAAAAAAAAGTCAAAGAGAATCACAGAGAATGATATTTTTATTTGAATTCCATCCAGAATATTCAGCAGAATTTTTTTCCAATTTAATACAATAAACTTCAAATTAACACAAGAAAAACATTTTTAAAAATATGCCAAAATGTCAAGCACTTGAAAATATTGAAGTTAATTTGTTTCAAAGCTCAAAACGTTCAAAGTAATCGTTTATGTGAGCACATATAAATGTTATATGTATTAATAAGTAGTACACGAGGTTATAAATTAAGTTGATACACTAGAAATTAATGTAAAAAAACTGTACAGATTTGTTAAATGATGAAGCTGGATGCACACTAGATCCTCATTATCAGTCATTTAATTTAGTTAGTTAGCATAGTAGCCCACTTATCTAGATTTTTGTATAATTACATTTATGTTAAATTATATTAAACATCATTAGTTAACATCCTTGTTAAAGAAATTTAGCAAAAAAAGAACTTTTTAAATTATGCCAAAAAAATTAGTTAAATATCCAACCTATATTTTCAAATTAAATTTTTTTATATATTGATAAAAGAAAATATATATATATACATATATTTAATGATGATATATTTATAAAGATGCATTTATAAATTATAAACAAAGAACAAGTTTAAAAAAAAGCATAAGATCAAAAGAAAAAAAGAGTTTATTAAATCGTTGACATGATAATTAGTTACTGTTTATATTTTTGTTACAATAAATAATTCATTAAAAATATTTGTATCTTATAAGTTGTAATATAAAAAAAAATCCAAGTTGTGAATAAAATCAATTGATTGAAAATTTTAAAAATCAAGTTAATTTTATAAAAATTTCATTAATAAATTAAACTTGAGTACAGCATTAAGCATTGGGGTGAATGGAGAAAAGTATCAATTTTTAAATAAATAAAGGAGTAACGGGTTCATTTAAGGTTAAAATTCCTTTAATTTAGCGAATAAAATTCTTGTTTCTAACCTAGAATCATTTTTTTATTAGTTAATTATGATTAAACTCAAATTTTATGTAAATAATTTCTAGAATATGAAGGACTTTTCCATAAATAAAGAGTTAACATGACCCTAGAATGGCTAAAAGTCATCAAATTTGAGGAGTAATCCCTGTGTAAAATCCTTAGAATAATTTTTAAATATATTAAATGATTTTTAATCAATCAGAAATAAGTAAAAATGAAGAAATTTGATGTAGAGGAATGTCAATGATATAAAGGATTTCTTCGGGTTAACTTGCTTTTTTTTAGTGTTAAATAATCATTCATTTTAGCGAGTAATCGTGATATTCGTTTCGTAGAAAAATTATTTCGATAGATTAAATGATTTTTTAATCAATAAAACATAAGAAATATCATATTGAGAAACGTTAGAATAAAAGAGAAGATGCTGCAATGGATTCGGCATCGTCTCGCCATCCGTTACCATAGTTACAGCTTCCCAGGGATCTCGAGGAATGACGTCATCCCACTTGATACGGCGCTAAATTACCAATGGCTAGACGAGACAGAATGGGAAAGCTAAGTGATGGGTGAGTTTTACTTTCTTTTCTTTTCCTATTTTAAATTATTCATTAAAAATTCAAATACGAATAATTTTAATTCTGTATTTGAATATTATACATATGTTAAAATGTCGTGTTTGATATTATATTTTATTAAATAATAATTAATAGTCGCGTGTTTTGTATACGAGATAACTTCGTGGAAAATGCAAGATGTTCATCCTTTGTTGTCATTGAATGTATAATGGGGAGCTTTGATTAAGATTTCGGTCAAAATTTGGCTATTTTATTTTTAAAAAGAGGTTAAATTATCATCTAAATTGTTTAAAATTAATTAATTTATCGAAATAAAATGATTAAGCTATTTCTAAACTAAACACCATTAAAAATGGCCATTTTAAAAGCTTAAATTGCAAAAAATATGAAAAACAAACTAGTTTAGATAATAAATTGCACAGTTTTACTTCGGTTTTCTTGAAAAAATTTAAAAATTCTGAATACATTTCGCAAAAATGGATCTCGTTTATTCGCCGCGCTGGAAGTACTTCTGACAATTTAAAACGCCTTTAACTCACTTAAGCGTATAAAAACCCGATTATTAATCGATTCGACAACGAAAATAATCGATTCGGCACACGTTTTATGCGCGAAGTTTTGTCAAACAATACACGTTACTTGACGGTTTTCTTCGAAGTAGAGATCATGGTTACACAAGATATAGTGACACGTGACAGTTTCCGATGACATTTTGTCACTAGCAACTGATGCATCAATATTACATATCGATCGCCGAATGGAAAACATAAGTTGGTGTAAAGTATAGGGTTTTTTCCCTACACTTCAGCAAGAAAAAGGGGTTTTCGGAGGAAAATAATGCCATTTAACTCGCTTTCCTCCCCCTCTTTGAATCGATGTACTGTATAACAAAAAAATTTTTTGCGTTAGAATATTTATAATGTATAAAAATTTTTCGCTGGAAAATGGGGAGGGGCAGGATATCTAGTTGAAGAGGAAACGCATTTCCTCTTCCGCTTGGTTCAAATCCAAGAAGATAAACGTGTTTTGTTTTCGTTTGGACAGAAATTTAATGACGTCCAAGGGGGGAGGAAAATCGATTTTCGAATTTACTTCTAAATTAAACGGCTTTAAAATACTTTAAAATTAAATTTAATTAATTTGAACCCAAATATGCAACGTGGCCCAAAAGATAGTTAACCGACTTAGCCGGATTTAGTGTATTTCGTTAACCGACTTTTGGTCGCTCTCTATTCATAAAATCTTTTATATAATTTCTAAAAATAAAATCATGCTTATTTAGAATTAATATTTTTAAGCTAAGAATATCTGTAACTATTTGAAAATATGCATATTTTTATTTTGCATCTTTGCATTTATATAGGTATATAGGGCCTATATAGGCTACATACGAGGCGGTACGAACGAAAGTCAGTTAACCGATTATAATTGTCTTTCTTACATCTCGGTCAAGTGATTTTTGGACTGTTCTATCTACATACGTAAAGAAGTTTATAAATGAAAATTTAAAACTGTTTTCGCAATTTTTCATATACGATGTGGCTCAAAAGTTGGTTAACCGATTGGCTGACTTTCTTATACACCGGTTAACCGACTTTTGAGCCATCCCGGTTTTTTAAATATAATTTTACTTAGTTTTCTGGATTTTTTAAAATTAAATACATTCAATTTAACTTAATTTTTTCGTTAACAAAAAATATTTAATTAAGGCATTAATCGATTTTTCTTTTGTTTTGTTTTTATTCTTGTCACTCGTTGCTCATTTAAGGTTAAAATTCCTTTAATTTAGCGAATAAAATTCTTGTTTCTAACCTAGAATCATTTTTTTATTAGTTAATTATGATTAAACTCAAATTTTATGTAAATAATTTCTAGAATATGAAGGACTTTTCCATAAATAAAGAGTTAACATGACCCTAGAATGGCTAAAAGTCATCAAATTTGAGGAGTAATCCCTGTGTAAAATCCTTAGAATAATTTTTAAATATATTAAATGATTTTTAATCAATCAGAAATAAGTAAAAATGANCCTTCTAAAATTTTATTTCTTTTTTATAAAAAAAAAACAATATTTTGTGCATTGAGTTTTAAAATTAATTTTGTTTTAAACTTTAAAAGATAATCGTTTTTAATTTTTTTCTTTCCTTTAATCCATCGTCGCGGCGCGTCGCTTGCGACCATCATGTCACTCGTGAATATAGTCAAAAACTTAAAAATTAATTTAAACTTTTTATTATTCTTTCTTCCTTGACCCAAAAAGCAAAATTTTATATTTCTGCTTTTTTTAAATTATTCTTTTTTTTAGCTTGCAAAGCTAATAATTTAATTTTTTTTATTCGCTTCTCCCTCTTTACGTTGCGACACGCATGGAACATTACAAAGATAATCGAGAAGTTAAGAATTATTTAAAATATTTTGAAGCCAAAACTTTATGACCGTTTATAAATATTTGTGATAATTTTCTACACATTCATGTCGTTAATGGGTACTTCCTGTAAGATATTTCGCGCGCGACGCGACTTCCGCTCACAATTTTTACGTAATTTACGTATCGCACGACTTCCGTGCGCGATATGTAAATCACCAGTTTATACTCAAAATTATTTTATATTATAGATGAATTTATCACGAAATATGACAGATTTAGCAGCGTTTAGGATGAACGAGAGATACGTTAGCATCAACAACAACAATAACAAGTTGTATCGTAATCAAAGTCTACCAGCAAACAACCCAATTAAAAGTAAGTTTAATTAAAAACTAAATAAATTTTATAAGCTTTATATTTAAATTTTTACGCGTTTTACTTTAATTTAAGGCCGTCCTTTCGATCCAAATGCTATCAAGCAACAGATGTATACAAGACATAACAACTATAGATACCTGCATAACAGCCCGTTGCTATGCTGGTCGGCCGAACTTGCCGAATTTTCTCAAGTTTGGGCCAATAAAATAGCAGAAAAAGGATATTTACAATACAGCGAAAATCCGTGTAAGTTAAATTCTAAGATTAATTAATTTATGAAGGGATAAAAGTAATTTTTTTCGCCTATTTTTATGTAGCTCTAGGTGAGAATATCGTTATTGTAGATCTTCAGGAATGCCCGACTGGAGAGGAAATAGTGGATAAGTGGTACGAAGAGAGGAAATATTATGATTACGACAAACCGGGATGGTCTAAATGTGAGTTTTATGCATTTCCTTTCCTTTTCAGTCTATCCTATATTTGTGTAATGAAGCAGTTTAAATTTAATAGATGCCGAAACCGAATGTAATTCAGGAAGCTTTATTTATAATTTAGTGAGATAAGCCTTAACTGGTGTCCTTATCTTTAAATCAAATTTTCTGTACTTTATTGCAAAGGATTTAAAGTATTATTCTAAAATTAAATTATGTGTTTCTTAATCTTTAGAGTTTATTAAAATGAAATCATTAATTATTCATTAAATTATAAAATATTCGATAAAAACTGATTTCTGTCATGAAACTGATGAAAACTGTAAGATTATATATAATCTTAACGCTAATATATAAAAATGTATTAATTAAAAAGTAATGTATTTTTATATAAATATTTTTTATTAAAACACAAAACTTTTCATAATCATAAACGTCATTACGTATTTATGCAAACAAACAAAATGGCGGCGCGCGCGATATTAATTATCTGAAATATTTCTAATTAAAAAGTTAAAAAGAAAATTGTTTGCGTGCATTTTAATAGTAATATTAACAAACAGACTATTAATATCAAGTGTTTTACTTAATCTGAATATATTTATGAAGTCATTACGCGCTCTTCGCGACCGTTCGGCACGCGAATTAACGAATATAGAATCAATCAGGACAAATGTGTCGCCATCTACTGGAGCTTATTAAATTTATTCCGAAATTCATTATTATGATTATTTTTTTTTTTTTAATTTTTCAGCCACGTTTCATTTCTCTCAAATGATCTGGAGAAGCTCTTCGGAGATCGGAGTCGGAGTTCAGAAGTTCAAAAATAAAAATTGTGCCGCCATTGTGGTTAATTATAAACCATGTGGAAATGATAATTTACCTGGAGAATATAAGAAAAACGTTCTTATGCCAAAACCCGTTAACATGAAGGATATCAAGAAGCGCAACTCTTGCCAAAATTCATTTTAAAATTGGGAAAAAAAAAGAAAAAAAATTGATCATATCTCAATAATTTTATAACAACCTAATTTAAATGCATCTGTATCCATAATACATATCCAAGTTATTCTGATTTAATTATCTGAAAGATCAAACCTAATGAAGCATTTTAAAGCTAGCAAATGAATTATTTAAGAGGAAGATAAGCACTGAATTGATTTCTATCAGGAAGCATTTAACATTGGAAACTGCAGAAAATCTTCATTAATGTAATTAAACAAAACTACTTTGGAAAATTAACTTTTGGAAGATCTTCAATTATGCTGGATGAGAGATGTTATTGATTTTATGGTCACTGACTTTGCATTCGCTACAGAATATCATTTCATTCTGCTAATCTTGTTTTCTACAAAGTAAAATATTGCTTATTTATTTTATGTATTAAACAGAAATTCTAGTGAATGTTTAAGCAGAACTGTGCTCTCTATTCCAGATCAATTCTGGAAGGCTACAGAATAGCAAGTGACTTCTTGTCGGAGTTTTGTGTCGAACCACTGCCATCCGCAGTCTGCGTGGGTGAGTCCGGCGCTCTGGTCGTTTACATAATAATCTCATATAGTTTGACATTACTATGCATCGTACGTAACAAGTGTCTCCGGTTAATTATCTGTGTTTAGAATTTCTTTGCCTCGCGTTGACATATCTCGAGGAATTTATAATTTAGTATTCATGCATTTTCTAAAGTGGATGTCGGTGATATTGATATATGGTGTCTTGTTGCGGGCGCTGTACATAATCATAGTTTCTTTCTCGCAACCTTGCAAAATGGTCTTCCATTAAAAAAAATTAGTGGCTAGAAATTAAGAACTTTGCAATTTGCTAAACTATATGCAAATATTTTAACATTATTCTATAAAAAGAAATTAAATGCATTATGTAAAAGAAAGAAGAAAAAAAATATATATGTTAATTTTTTTATAATTTTAATTTTATGAAAATTACATCATGCTTAAAAATCTCTTCTTTTTAAAACAGAGATTTTTTTAAAAATTTATAATATAATAATTAGAATGAGCACAATTATAGTTTGTAAATAATTTTAAATGTTATAATAAAATTTTGGTATATAAGTTATTGTTATAAATTATTAATTAATAAAATATCTCTTAAATAAACTGCTCTGTCTTCATTTATTTTTTTTTATTAAACAATATTCATTGGCATCCACACACTAAAATCTTAAATTCTGTATAACATTTAATATACAAATTTATACCTCAGTGTTGTCTTATATTATAACATTTCTTCTATAGATAAAAATATATTTCATTGTAATGAAATTAATATTTGAATTTCTTCTTCTGATTTCTCGGAGGAGAACTGTCGTATTCTGTACTTTCGTTCGTGTCCATTTCGAGGCCGCTGTCGAATTCGGAAAAGGTTGATTGTTTTGTTGCACTGTTTCGTTTATTAAATTTGTTTTTTTGGAATGCTTTAGTATAATTTCTTTCATTTTCAACATCTTTTTTATTTACATACTTATTATTAGAGAAAAACATATCATCTTTCTGTTTATGTTCTTCATTAAGACCACTATCAAATTCTGAATGCTGAACTAAATTTCTCTTAATGTCTTTGTTTGGTTTATCAAATGTCCTTTTCGGAACTGAATGAGTCGGTCTTTTCAATTTTTTGTCCATTGTCAGGCCACTATCATACTCAGAAAATGCATTATCAAACTTTCTCTTAAAACCACCTCTCTTCCTATTTAAATAAATATATCATCATCATATACTTTGGAATTTATTACTAAATACAATAAAAAATGTACAGTACTAGCCAGATTCATTATGAGCTAAAATTAAACTAATTATTAATCAAATATGTAATTTGCCTAAAAAGAAACAGTTAAGCCACTATCTTGCACTATGATTATTAATTAAAGTTCAAAATTAATTTATAATTAATTAATTTAGAAGATTCTGGAGAAAAAAATTGACATGGAGTAGGATTTAGACTTGGTTATTAGGTTATTAACAGACTACAGTTTACTGTATGTTAATCTTTAAAATAATTTATAATTACCTATGTTGATTTTTATCTGTATTCAAATTTCTTGATACCGAAACTCCGAGAACAGATGGTGCTTCTCTCAAACAAAAGCTTTTTGCAGCATGTCCAAGATGTAATTGCTTGATTGAAAAGATATGCTTCAGAGATCTCGGATAAGATGCATAACCTCTGGCGTAAGACGTGAAAGCTGAAAAAAACAAAATTTAAGTTGTTCATACCATTTGAAATCCTGATAAAAATAAAATCTTATGTAACATTTTCAATTTTATAATATAAGTATTATAAATACATTTTTATTTAGTTATTAATTAAGATTGATTAGTTATTGTTTAATATCTTAAAATTAAATAGAGATTCAAGGACTTCCATTGACTTATTGTTAATGCAAGTTAAACTAATTTTCTGAATAAGCAGAATTCTATTGATTGTTATATGGCATACTTAACAATTAAGAACAGATTGAATGAATGAATACAGATTTATTTAAATTTTTTCCTGTACAAAATTTTGTAGCAGCATTTAGATGAAATTTACATTTTAGTAATTACTCCATTCTAATAATTATAATTATTTTCAGTGGCAAATATAGGTTAAGGGCATTAAAAATTATAATTTGCTTATACTTAATGCTATTTTATTGCTTTAATGGTTATTTAACTGAATTAGAAATCATACATTGATAGAGAGCACAAATATTGGTTCATGTTCTGCTAAAAGAAATTATCTTCTTTGCTTAACAAGAAGATAATTTGACATGAAATTATGCAATAATATAATGTAAGGTTTTGGTCAATTGACACTTAAATTGATGATAATATTGTAAATTATAAAATAATAGACTTGTATATTAATGCATTAATATATTGTTTGAACAGAACTGTCTTCATGCTTTAGGTCAGATGTCCTTGAATGTTAAAGTTATAAAACAATTTAACATATTAGTATACAGTGCAATCGTAAAGTCCCTCTGCAGCGGGCAGGGAAATGGGAGGAGCTTCTAGGAATGAAGTAATGATGTCACAACAGGTTTTGTGTTGAAAGAGTTAAAGTAAGTTATGACGTCACCACTCAGCTGAGTCACATGGGCATGGCTCACTGTGGAGGGACTTTACAATCACACTGTATTTATAAAGTACTAGCTTACCCGTCGCGCATTGCTGCGATCTCAGAAGAAACGAAATTCAAGCAAACTCGTTATGATAAAATTAAATTTACATTTTATCATTTCTCATATTTATCATAGCCCACATACTCGCACAGATTGTTAGAAGTACGATATTCCCCATTTTTATATATTTTTTAATCCTTTATAATTTTGATTATTTAATTGGTCCTTCCTCTCTTCCGTGGCATGCTGTGAAATTTCTGATAGTTGGATAATAAACCGTTTTATTGTAATTTGTCTTTTTAAATTATTTTGAGTCGATATTAAAATTTGGAAAAGGAGGATCCCTAGATCGGTAAAATAGGCGAATTTCCTCCTTCAACTTCGGTTGTTGTTCGGGGATACAGTTAAGGTTTTAACAAAGTTCGAGCGAATACGTAATTAGCAAAAAAAAAAAAAAAATTGAAATAAAGTGATTAAACAAAAATTATTACAAATATCGTAAATAACAAATGCATATATAGAGATATTTTTTGGAGGGGGGAAATGGTCTTCACAATTTGAAATCGATCGAACACACAGTAAAATGCTCGTATGCACGCGCGCCATCTATCGTAGGATAAATGTACTATGTCAGAAACCTTCGCGGGAGTGTATTAATTAATTAAAAAACTTTCCAAAGTTTCATGGCAATCGGATAAACGGTGTGGTAATGCATGAAGGACAGATACACACACACACATTCATTTTTATATACTGTATATAGACTAGCTGTTACCCGCGGCTTTGCCGGCGAGGATTTTGCAAGCAAACCCCATTTATATTTAATATTTCAACAACCATAGTAATTGTTATATAACGCCTACCGCTGACAATAATGAGAATTGCCGAGAACCAAACGAACCGTTTTCAATTTGATCAATTTTCTGGAACGTTTACAATTATACTATAATCGAATCAATAACAAATTCGAATTTAAAATGGTTCGAACATTTTTAAAATCGAAATAGATAAAAATATTTATAACAATGTCTGAAACGTTATTAATTTAATACACCTAAGTACTCAATGAAGACTAAACGTAGTTTAAAACAAAAAATCGCATCTAAAATATTACAGTAGAAGCCGTTTTTCCGGATAAGCTTTAATGCTCTCCCTCTCCCCCGCGGGGGAATTTCGAAAAATCCCGTGTTAGTGTGCGTTTTCATGACATATCCTAACTGTGTATCAAATTTCACCTCTTTAGGTTCAGCGGTTTGCTCTGGGCGATGATGAATCAGTCAGTCAGTCAGGACAAGAAATTTCATATATTTAGATTTATTTATTATATATTTTTTGAAATATTAAGATATAAAATAAAATTTATTTTTAATAAATAATTGAAAAAAGTTAATTATACTATTAGCTTAATTTTATTGCATTTTAATTCATAATTAAGCTACTTTAATTAGGATTAAAAATATAATCTTGTTTAAAAAAATGGCATATTTTAAGTAAAAAAACCAAGATTCTTATGAATACATACTTAATTCAATCTTAATAAATGCAATACCTAATCTGAAAGCATAACTATAAATCATATTTTCAAAGAGGCGAATCTATTATCGGAATGTAACCAAAGCTAAAGTCATTAATGCAAATGATGTCTGAAGGGAGAAGAATGTATTGTGAGGATGTAACTAATGGCCTAAACATAATAAATAGACTGAAGTTTATGAACCGGATGTATTAAACAGTGTATATAATAGCAGCTTAGCTTTTAATATCCATTTAAAGAATGTAAATATATGCAAATTACTTTAATTTCCATGTCCCAAATTTTAAAATAGGACAGTGAAATTTCCAAAACCTTATATTTCAAAATTTCAGTACTTCCATGATAAAAAATATTATTATATTTTTGACTGACAGACATCTAATGGCATAAAAATAATTTTCAAACTTGAAAGTAATACTTCTCCGACCACTATCACAAATATTACATCTACTGTAAATTAAACAAAAATTATATATTAATGTTTTCCTTGGATAAAAATTGATGATAACTGTAATTTTAATTAAAATTAATTATTTAATAAGCATTATTATTTTATTTATTTGAATGGTTCATGTAACAATGTGAGTTTTCAGGAAATGGAATCATAAATTTGGTATTTGCAATTAGATATAATTATGTTATCTTTTATACATATCATAATTTATTCATAAGACAACAAAGAACTGAATAAAGAGAATTTGAAGCTGAGAGAAATCCCAAAAAATGTTCATCATTCAATCAAGAGACTGTTTTGGACTTAAAATTCACAGGAAATGAAAAGTGTATGGCTCAATTTAGATAGCATCATTACTTACTAACAAATTTATGAACAGGATATATTAAACATCGTTTTCATAAATTAAAATACTATGAACAAAACATGGTTAAATGACTTTTGGACACCATGTATACCTGTCGTTAATTGACAATTAAATAAAACCAATTTCCCAGATTTAAAAATGTGTCAAAGTTTAACTGGTTGATTATTATATGTGTGCTTTAATGCATAGATTAATAAAACATAAACAAAAAAGCAAAGCCTAATCAAAGAAATTTTAATTATAAATAATCGATTTGATCACAAAACAAGTAAAAAATATTATTTTCAATTTATATATATTTTTAACTTGTTTATAATTGTTCATTCATTAATTATGTATATTCATATTTACTGCAATTGCATTGCTTATTCACATGTATATAAACATTAGAAGATCATCAAGAGATAAGCTCATTATAAAAGGAGAGAAATTTTTTACGATATCATTTAATAATGATTTTCAATTTAAAAAAATATGTGTATGTATGTGTATAAAAATAACCCATAATCTGATGATTTCTAAATAATCAAATTACTAGACTGAAGATGTTTGGCTTTGTTTGTGATGAATGAGGATGATATTAATGAAACTGTGATGATATAAAAAGCATTTCATTTAAAACACAGAGCAACTATTAATCCTTTTTAAGTTTTTGCATTATTATTTACACTACTAATAAGTTCTCAAAATTCCACATTATCAAGATGTATAAGAAAAATGACTCCAACAAAAAATTCACATCAAACATTAAAAGATGATAATTCAAATTCATCATCTAGATCAGGGTTGTCCAACCTTTTTTCTTAATGGGCCAAATTAGAAATTTATGTATATTCACCGGGCCACAAACATACTTTAATATAAATATATGCTTTTAACAAGTTAACAAGTTCAAAATGTATATACAATTATATAAAATACTGTATTATTGACAATAAAAAAATAATTATACTCACACAAAATAAAAATAAATTCAATGCGAGTTTTGACATTGCCTTCCTTTTATAATATTGTCAATATCTGCTTTCATGGTACTAGTCTTAATTCTAAGAATGTTAGTTAATGGGAATCATTCAACCTATTTCTTTCAACAGTTTTGATGTTTTTTATGTGCGAAAAGAATTGATCACAACAGTATGTTATGCATATGGGGTGGTACAGTTTTCTAGCACCAATTACATCATTAGGACATCAATCTGTATCCAGTGAAACGAGAATAATTTTTACAATAATCTTTACCAAAAGAAATGAAAATGTATCTAAAAATTTTAGGGTGCACTGGGCCACATAAATATATTAAGTAGGTTGCAAGTTGGACATCCCTGATCTAGACTACTAGGTGATAAATTATGCAAACTATTAAACTGTCTTCCTAAAAGTTAGGAAAACAATCCAATGTTTGCATAAATCAATGAATTTTATCATTTTAGCAATGAAAATTGCTATCTGATAAAAGTCTAACGCTATTAATTAATATTATATGAAATTAAGAACTTAACTCAGAAATCAAAATTATTATTTTTTATAAAGTGAAACCAATTAGCCAAGAAATAAAAAATGTTTTACTCTATCTTTTAACATTTGATAATGTCAGACAATGAATTTGAACCAATGATGTTTGGAAAAAACAGCTTGATTATTGCCAGATAAATTTTGATGTTTGATGAACACTGCCAGCCTATAAGCATATTTGATACATCACTTGTAAATGACAGAAGTTCAGAAAAAATATAACTTGTTGGAACATTACATTATTAGATAAAAATTAATCTAATGAATCTCTAATGTTTGTATTTTAATATACAATATAGAACTTCAATTATTAAAAGATTTAGTAGTGAACTCAGAAAAAACTATGTGAATCATAAAAAAACTCTTGTAATATGCAATTAAATCATTGGTAAGTATACTTAAACACTTTTTATATAACTTTTAAAATTAATTTTTATATCAAAGTAAAATATAATGTATGTCTACAAGGGCATCTGCAGAAAATTTTCCAGGGGGGCAAAGCTTGGAGACAAATAATTACATCAATAAATTTTTATTTAATTTTCTTGGGATTTTTTCACAAGTAGATTATAGAATACAGTATTGCATTAATACAAAAAGACAGATAAAGCACACCATGTGTATCTCAATCACTTTTAATTACAATTATAATTTGTGAAATTTTTATTCAGTCACAGGGCCAAGGAGGATCAAATTTTTATTCAATGGAAAAGGGCAAGTGCACCATTTGCCCCCCCTCTGCAGATGTCCTTATATGTCTATCAATAGTCTACAGTCAAATTATTTAATTTATAGAACTTTTTCATAGACACAGAATGATTTCAAAAGTACAGTAATGTGAAACTAAAGGCATTGACGAAAAAGAAATCTACTGGAAAGACTGACAGGTTAGGTTAGAGAATGGCCATAAGAGTTGTCACTATGAGAAGAATCAAATGTAGCAGATAATCATGTGACACCCAGAAAGTCACTTCTCACACTGAGAACAAAGCTATAGTGAAGTTCTAGCAAGATGATGACAAACATATCCCATTATGCATCATGAGTCAAATCTCACAAGTTGATTTCACAGCAGACTAAAGCCCAAGGAAACAGTTGAAAATTACTCAAGATGAGAACTGTAAGTAATTCTGCAGATATATAAAATAAAGGTTATATATTTGGTTCTATTTATTTTCTTACAAAACAGTCCTTAAAACTTGGGATGATACTATATTAAAGGTTGTGCTATATTCAGAACAATATGGTCATTTTCAAATTTAAGCAAATCATTTTGAGAGAAATCATTAAACATTAATAAAAATATTCACTTAATTCAGGTTTTTTTACTTTAACAAATTAAATGGATAAATATTTCTTCCAGTTTACTTTATTATTGTTATTCACTGTCACAAAGTATGAGCTGATTATTTACTTTCTTCATAATCATAAATATTGAGCATCAATCTCTGATTTTTAAGCAATGATTTACTGTACTTCTATAATTAACCAGCATGATTGAAAAAGTTGCACACATCAAAATACTAGTTTGTGTATATTGTGTCAAGTTATTTTATGTCTCCTGCCTCAAGATGATACTATAGTGATTGCTGACTATATTAATAGAAACTCTGACTTTTGTGTTAAAGTCATAAAATTGGCTGCAGTATAACTTTGTTCATTGAGGAAATGAAATGGTTTTCTTTTCAGAAAAATGGATTTTCACTGTTGAGCATTATTTTATCAGTATTTCACCACTGAGCAATTATGCACATGTTGCAGATGAGTTTTATCAGAAATATCCGAATTCTATAGTTTTTGTGAGAATTATTCGGCAACCACCTTACTCCTAAAGGATTGTGGCCCCTATGTTCTCCAGATTTGTCACCTCCATAATTTTTTCCCTAGGATATCTCAAAAGATTTGTGTATAAAATTAATCCACACACAATAGATAAACTAAAGAGGAACATTATAATGCCAATTGACTGCTTCACGAGGTGGCTTCAAACTGGTAAAAAGAGTTCTGCCTGCACTCATAAACAAGGAAATCATTTCAAACATATGTTGTAATAATTTGGTTTTGCTTTTTTTTTTTAGATCAGTTTACAAAATTTTGTTTTTACTACTTCTGTATTTTCATACATTAACCTCAAAATAAAATTCATTCCTAACACATGTATGTGACTTTTTGATCATCCTATATAAACATGCTTATAGTGAAATTCAAAAATTAATTAAATAGTAAGAAAATATAATTTAATTTTTTAATAAATAATAAAGCTTAATTAAAAGTAATCTCTCCTTTAACTGTGACATTTGACTAAGAGATCAAAATAACAAGTTGGACTGATAGCTTTGCAGAAAGATGTCAGCCTACAGATATAGAGGTTTGAACTCAATCCAGACCATCACAATTTATTTTGGATAATGTAGGTTGCATGCCAATTCCCATTGCTCATTTATGCTAGTTAACATACTGCAGTACAACTCCACTTGTAATATTTGTAATTTTATGGCCAACCATATAGCTGTAATGTACTGGTGCCTTGATTAATTCATAAGGTATCAGCATATTAACATTATATTAATCAAATTATTAAATACTTTGTTAATTCCAAATTTATATATCATATGTATTTATTAATTAATAAAACTTCATTAAATACCTTTTTTTCCCATTTCATGTACAGCAGGGCTTCCATAAACATAATTTTCATACTTCAATTGTAGGTTAGTAGCATGTTCTTCAATAGTTTTTGAATGCTAAATTAACAAAGCATTATTTGTTTCAAATCTATTTTTATACCAAAATAAAATGTAATTAATAAAATAATTTCCCTAAAAACAAACTAAATTAAATTGATCAAAAGTTCATTAAACTTTTTTAAATTTAATTTTATATAGAAGAAAATCTATTTGTAATTAAATTAAAACAAATTATATTAACTGATTAATGTAAAATAATTAATTTTATTTAAAATAATATGTACTTAAGTACTTAATTTAATATCAAAAACTTTATGATTTCATAACTGCCCAAATTTTTTAAATTAAAAACTACATGTAGTTATGATTAAAAACTTGAATTAAATTAAATATAAGATATAGATGAAGATAAAAAAATTAACTAACATAATATTAAATATTAACAAAATAACAATTCAGAATTAATTAAATTGTAATTTTTCCTAAGGCAGAAAACAAAATATGGAATTTCTCATTTAAAACAATTAAAATAATTATCAAAAAGCATTTTTAGAAATCTAAAGTTTATATACTTAATACTTTTAAAATAATCCAGCTTCATATTCAGATATATGTTATGAAGCTGGAAACATTTAAATATATATAATTTAGTTTTTAAAAAGGATTAGTGTTTTATTAATTATTTCATAATACTGTAATTTACTTATTTTATATGTACTGTACATAAATAATGCTGGTAAGCAGAGGTAACTGCACCGACATACAACAAAATACATTTTTGCAATTTTAAAAAGTTAAACTTATTATTAAACTGTTTATTATACCAATAGAATGTAAAAGTTAGAATAATAAAAAGGTACAAATAAAAATACAGTAGAATCTTGTTTTAACAGATTGCAGAACAATGGATTTTATGGAATAACAGATTTTGGCTCCAGGTCCCACCAAATCAATATAATTTTACCTCTTGAGTAGATCCATAACTCAGAATAACAGATTTTTTCTAGCTCCATCTTCAGTAAACATCGTATTTTTTTCAATCTTTAATTGGATACAGAATTCAAAAAATACATTGCACACTGTGCAAACTGAGTGCATAATTGTCATGGTTCTCACTGCTAACATTGCAGCTACACATTAGTGCCCTCCTATAGCATGTTGATTATTGGAGGGACACTACTTCAGGCTTAACACTTCCAGATATGTAAGTGTGTGCAACAAAGGTTTGCCACACCTTTGTTGCAGACACATGTTTGGGAATGTGAAACCTTGAAATCATGCTTGTGTAACAGTAACATTTTGTACTGACGATGCCATCAAAAGAAGCCCAGAAATGTCACATCATAACAGCATCATCAAAGCAAACAAGATGGACACAGTTGCGTAGCGTGGGTGTCAGCTGCCCAGGGCGGAGGAAAAATTTGCCGCCCCCTTATTTAGGTATCTCAATTTAAAAGACTAAAATTCAGTTTTGTCACAGAATAAGTAATGAAAAATTCCGTGCTCATTTCAATCGGTCATAGGTGCGACAAAAATATGAAACGAAATGGTTCAAATTTTTACAAGGTATTATTATTTATTGTGAAATTTTGCTGCCCCCTAAAAGTGCTGCCCAGGGTGGGCTGCCCTGCTGCCCCCACTACGCTATGCCACTGGATGGACAAGTTTTTTAACATATTGTGAAATGCTAATGATCATACGTACTTTGTCGCTTTTTGGCTCATAACGTATACAGTTTCTGTCAGCTTTGTTACAACATAATGTACTATCTTGTAATATACATGTTCATATAAAATAAAGGATAGAGATCTTGAGAGACTGAATAATTTCAAGTACAGGTGTTTTTTTATGTAGGGAGTTTAAAAAAAAAACATTTTTTCAAATATTAGATATTTTCCTGGGAGTGCGAGAAATCTGTTGTTCACAATATAACAAATTTTTGGAACAATGGATGATTTTCAGTGTCTCGAGCAATCTGTTAAAATGAGAGTCTACTGTACAAGTATAAAGTACAGCTATCACTTGCTTAATTAATGCAGTTTTGTTTAATGTGAGATTTGGTTAACATGCAAAATTAATTGCAGCAATCCCTTTATATATGTGGCAGAAGTTTTAATTAACAGGGCTTTACCAGCTGTCTTTACTTAACACAGATACCATATTTGATTAAAATGATTTTAATATATGTGGTAGCATCAAGGGTTTAATTATTCAAGTTAATTAAGGGATACCTGTAGATAAAATTATATCAAATCCAAAGACAAATAATTTTATACTAATTTTTTATACAATCTACAAAAATCTGCATATATGCCTTCACCAGCTAAATTATTTACTTTAGCAAACATTTTCAGTTATTCTAGCAGCCATTGTCAGCATACATATAAAACTAATTTCATATACATCCTGACAATGGGTGCTAAAACAGTAGAAAACATTTGAGATAATAAGCTCTCATCAGCAAAATTATTTACCTAGAGACTCTTTTGTACAATTGAAAACCAGCTTACAATACATAATTTTACATCATTTAGATGGTATTCAATATAAAAAATTAAGATATTCTCTAGTAACAATATAGAATTTTTTCAGACATATAACTATTATAATAATTCATTCATTATGTTAGTGAATCATTTACAATATTCTCAAAAGATGACTGAGCAATTATAAATCTTAATTATTTGTATTATGTAGAATTATTTATTAAATAAGTAAGAATTTTTGAATTTATTAATGATACATGTATTTGTATTATTATTATTGAAAACATAACTTTAGCAAAAAATGTAATGTTTCTAATTGCATCATTATTAAATTAATATGAAAGCAGTAATATTTATGGTAAACATATCAATAAAGAAATTCTTTTAATGCAATTATTGGTATAATGGGTGTAATGGTATAATAAAGCCACTTCAGTCAGAAATCACCAACATGGAGTTTGATTTACAAAAAAATCTACACAGTTTTATAGAGTTGACTACAAAGCAAGCTTTTACTGTACATGTAGGAACAATACTCCATATTTCATACTTAGTTCTATAAAATAACACTATATTAATATTATACAAAAAAAACTTTTGAAAGATTTGCATGTTCAATAATCATTTTTCATCTTATTTATTATTTTACTTGATATAAGCATTTTAAAAAATTATTTAATTTTACTTTTTTACTTTATTATCTTTTAGAAAAAAATAATTAATATTTATTTATTTAATAAAATAATAATATTCCACTTTCAAAACTGGAAAAATTAAAATCAACACAGTATTCTAAATTATTCAAAATCAACAGTATAAACTTCTTATATTTTAAATAGTACTTTCACTCAAACTTATAGTTAGAAAGAAACAAATAAACTTGCTGACAAATCAAATTTATAGAACTAAAACTGAGTTAAACATACAAATAACTAGATACAAAATCCAAACAATATCAAATCTTTCATGTCCAGCAAATAATTAAAAAATATACAAATGTTTTCAGTTACTTTTTGGTAGTAGTCATCAGGTTATAATCCAAACTCACAAAAGAATTTGGATGTGTAACCATTAAAGGTCTGATATTATCAATATTTAAAACTAAAGTCCCAGTATGATAAATGGTAACAAACAATAAATTCTTACTTGTATGTCATGAGAGATTGATTAAAATNAAACATATCAATAAAGAAATTCTTTTAATGCAATTATTGGTATAATGGGTGTAATGGTATAATAAAGCCACTTCAGTCAGAAATCACCAACATGGAGTTTGATTTACAAAAAAATCTACACAGTTTTATAGAGTTGACTACAAAGCAAGCTTTTACTGTACTGTACAATACTCCATATTTCATACTTAGTTCTATAAAATAACACTATATTAATATTATACAAAAAAAACTTTTGAAAGATTTGCATGTTCAATAATCATTTTTCATCTTATTTATTATTTTACTTGATATAAGCATTTTAAAAAATTATTTAATTTTACTTTTTTACTTTATTATCTTTTAGAAAAAAATAATTAATATTTATTTATTTAATAAAATAATAATATTCCACTTTCAAAACTGGAAAAATTAAAATCAACACAGTATTCTAAATTATTCAAAATCAACAGTATAAACTTCTTATATTTTAAATAGTACTTTCACTCAAACTTATAGTTAGAAAGAAACAAATAAACTTGCTGACAAATCAAATTTATAGAACTAAAACTGAGTTAAACATACAAATAACTAGATACAAAATCCAAACAATATCAAATCTTTCATGTCCAGCAAATAATTAAAAAATATACAAATGTTTTCAGTTACTTTTTGGTAGTAGTCATCAGGTTATAATCCAAACTCACAAAAGAATTTGGATGTGTAACCATTAAAGGTCTGATATTATCAATATTTAAAACTAAAGTCCCAGTATGATAAATGGTAACAAACAATAAATTCTTACTTGTATGTCATGAGAGATTGATTAAAATATATTTTAAAATATATATATAATTTTAAAAAACCTTTAAAAAAAAAAACAGAAGTATTTTAAAAAAATAATAAAATTACTCTGATTTTATCAACAGTCCTTTTTATTGATATCGGAGAGATGTACAGTACTTACACCAGATGAATTTCAAACTATATTATCTAACAGTTCCTCTTCAGTGGTAAAAACACAAAGTAAATAACATAGTAACAATAAATTAATTTGATTATATAAATTTCTAATTAATTAATTGTGAAATTTCATTAAATATTTAACACATAAAAGCATATCCTATTTAGTAATCAGTAATTTACCAAAATTTTTCTTAATTTACCGAATTAACATGTGCAATCAATTTTAGTAATGAGTCAGAAATCTTAATGAAATCAATTAGAAAGAGTCCTAAATAATGATATCTAATTGTCTTAAATCACTGCAATCTATCTAACAACTATTAAAAACTTTTCTAAAGTTTATATACAAATTTATATATTCTATTTTAATGATAAATGAACTGTCATAAACATCACATTTTAACAAGAGATTTGAAAAATCCTTTGTATAAAATTAATTTCACATAATAAATAGAATAAAATATGACTTAGAATTATGTTAATCACAGAGAGAAATTACAACAGAGCAGGAAAAAATTTGCACAATCTGTGAAATCAGCAGTTGAAGTGCCAATTTCACAAATTTTTTGCAGAATTTACAAAATGGGCAATTCAAAATAAGCCTATTCCACGAAATCAGCATTTTACTATTTTCACCCATTGAATTATGACTTAAATAAATTTTTACGTATCATTCTCTAAGTACAGGTAACCCCTGTATAACACGGTACTTCTATAGCACGAATTCACTCTAATACAGTTTGAGAATAGGGAACATCCCTGTATAACACGGTGCTTTTATAGCACGGATTCACTCTAACACGGTTTGAGAAATGGGTAAACCCTCGTACAACATGAAATGTAATAAGTTTTCATATACTTAAGTACTAATAGTTCATGAAAGTAATAATTTTCATGAACTATTAGTACTTAAGTATGTAAATTTTCTTTTCTGCTTTCTGTTGATACACATAATCCTTCTCAAAATTTGTTTCATGTTGCCAGATCTCGACACTTCTGATTTTGTGTTGCCAGATGTTTTTCCTTATTCCATACTTGCTTTATTCTTCATAAGTGCTTAACACCATATAAGGAAATTTATAAAGATCTTTTAACTAAAAGCAAGCAATTTAAAATAGCATATTTTTTGCAAAAGGTAGAGCATGGATTTGAAAATAATGCCGAAAAATGCTCAGAGGATAAGGCTATCTTGCCAAAAAGAAAATGCCCTTGGTTAATAGTGCTTAGTGATGGCAAAGAAAACATTGTTTAATTTATATTAATATGTATTGCTTAAGAAAATTTTAATAAAGATATTTATCTTAATTATAAAAATATAATAGCATGTTTTTTAATTTTTGGAACCTAACCCCCCTTTTTGTACTAGTTCTTTGTTTTGTATAACACGGATTCGCATAACACGGCAATTTTTTGGAACATAACTCCCATGTTATATGGGGGTTACCTGTATTATCTTCTTCCTTGATGTTTACTTAATGATATTTTACATCTTCTAATCTACATGGTAAAAATCTACCGACTCCAACTCCAACTCCGACTTTTCCTTACCATCCGACTCCGACTCCGGCTAAAACACCAAAACTCCACGACTCCGACTCCACAGCCCTGGTTTATTTTTATATAAAATTGTTTTATACATTCTAGGATTAAAAAATTTAATCAAAAAAATAAAAATAGTAATGTCATATTTAGTTCTAGTTTTGTCTGCAAGATGACGGAAAGTTACATAAAAATCTACCAACTCCAACTCCGACTTTTCCTTACCATCCAACTCCGACTCCGGCTAAAACACCAAAACTCCACGACTCCGACTCCACAGACCTGCCAGGGCTGTGGAGTCGCGTAAAAATCTACCGACTCCAACTCCAACTCCGACTTTTCCTTACCATCCGACTCCGACTCCGGCTAAAACACCAAAACTCCACGACTCCGACTCCACAGCCCTGGTTTATTTTTATATAAAATTGTTTTATACATTCTAGGATTAAAAAATTTAATCAAAAAAATAAAAATAGTAATGTCATATTTAGTTCTAGTTTTGTCTGCAAGATGACGGAAAGTAGAATTAAATATAAACAGTTTTTAATTAATGATTATTTTATCACTTTTTAATTTTACATTAATAATTATTGTGTTAAATTGATTATTAGGTAATCTGATAAAAAAGTATTAATCAAATAATGTATGTTTTCAGCTTAAGATTGGCACTGGGACGTTTGTTAAACATTCATTTTACATAAGTTAGGCATTACGTAGAATTGTAATTTAATTGTTAAAATTTCATTATAATTTGAACACAAACCATGTAAATTATTGTTTATGAGAGAATAAAATGAACCATCAGAGATGGCCGACTGAAATAAATTTTGTATTATTTATATTATAATAAAGACAGATCATTATTTTCAAATGTATTCAAATATTTCCTCAAAATATGAAAATTACAAACATCTCAAATCTTAATAGTTCAATTTTTTAAAATTCATATATACCTTTTGTCTTCTATCTGATTTTTGTTCAAGCAACAAAACTGATTTTATTAGATCTTCCATTTTAATACTTTTCAAACTAAAAAAAAATATAAAAAATTCTTTATACTGTATATATTAAACATAATAATAAATAAACATAGTTTGAAATATAAAATAATTAAAATCTGACTTAATTATAAACTGTATTACTGTAAAAAGTCCTTTAACACTATTTTGTCTTTATTAACTATGATCAAATAATTATGATTTTTTATTATTATATAAATAAACTTAAGTTAAACATAATTTTAATGAAAATATTAAATCTGAAAACATATTTTTTGTTATATTAATTTGTGTTAAGTACATCTCCACAATGGCACTTAGCCAGCTAACACAACACTAAATTTAAATACATCTGAGAGCAAAGGTTTGCTTGGGATCCGGATGGTGCAACTGGCAAGTGCACCATCCGGCAAGCAGAGGTCACAGGTTCAAGCCCCACCCCAGTCCAGTTCTTTTCTTCCAGATGATTCTATAATTTTAATAATTATTAGTTTAGATAAGAGATGGCACCTAACGTCTATCTCTAGTAACAAATTCTTAGCATTCAATCATTAAATAGCAGATTTATAGCCTGATTATTTAAGACAATTGTTTGTTATATATCTATATATATCAGGCTTTGGAATGTTTAATATACTTATAAAAAAATCATAGTTAATTTTTTACTTTTTCTGTCTTATGGACAGTAAGTCTTTTTTTCATACTCAATGTGGTTTGGAAAAACCTACAATGAGGACAGCTTGATAATCAGGGATGGTGTCCGACATATCTGGGATGGACCACCCATGAAAAATCCCTGGGATTTTTCAACTCTCTGAATTCAATACCAGCTCTCCTGAAACAGTAGACTGAAGGCTTAACTGCCTCAGACATCTGACATTAACTTTTCTCAGCTGCTATAACAACAGTTAGAAAAATCATTCTATAGTTGTTTGAATTTAAAACTTAAAAGCATAATATCAAATAACTATGATTCATAATTGGTTAAAGTTTATTTTGTTTCTGTTATTTAAGTATCGTAAAAAAGTCAAAACATTTTATATCTAACAATATTTTTGACTTTCTCATGAAAAGACATATCAAGTATGAATATCTCTGCTTTATTTTGAATAAATTACTTAATAACCTATACCTATAAAATATATATTACCTATAAAAAATCTGATTCTTTAGCATTATCTACATTCATTTTATACAGTTAGGTTATGAGAATAATAATTAAGATATTTTATAAATCAATCAAAAATGAAAATTATACTCACTTTATTTTATAATCCTGTAATGTCTTCAAAAATCCAGCTTCTGAAGGAAGAAGAAACAATACTGCCTGTCCGTGAGTACCAATTCGTGCCGTTCGTCCAACGCGATGGACATACTCTTCTGGTTTACAGGGAGCACTAAACTGAATTATCCAATCTACTTTTGGAAGATCGAGACCTCTGGATGCAACATCCTAAAATGAACAATAATTTATTTATAAATATTTATCAAGATATGTATTATTAATAAAACCATTATTTTCAAAAGTATTTAATTATAACTTTATTTTCTTAAGAATTTTTATAATTACCAATCATAATTAATTTAAATCCTGTATATACTTTAGTTTAATTTATTATTTTTATCTTCTTATAACTAAATATTTTGTACACTAAATATTTCACATTTTCATATAGCTTTCCTTCTTAAAATATGTATCCGAATAATTAAAAACTCACTGTACATAAAAGAATTCCAGCTCTTGTTTCTCTAAATTCCTTGAATATTTGTGTTCTCTCCTGAAAGAACATAGCATATTTAATAAATTTTTGTAAAAGCTATTACAATGATTATTTCAAATAATAAAAATAAGATAAAAGAATTTAAAGAAGAATAAACAATTCTTCATAATTTTGACAATTTTAATAATAACACCTCTATAGAACAATTTTGATAGTGATGCTGATTACCATAACAGTAAGTAACATTTGAATTAATTTACTATGTGATTGTGTACAGAATTTGAATGTTTCACGTTTTTAATAAATATTAAAATAAATGAGCTAAGAGTGAATGAGATTTATCTGTCTCAGCAGTTGAACAATGATTTATTCAAAATTTAACTAACACAAAATGCTGAGCCAATACAAATTTTAGTATTAGCAAAATTTATTTTATTAGTATAGATTGGAATGATATGGAGCTATTACTATCTGTTAATTGAATTGGATAATCAGACATTTGGCAAAAAGAATTTCTTTTAATAAAAGTGTTAATTATCTGAAATAAACAATTATTTTGTTTTATTTATTTAAAATAAAATATGGATTTTAAAATAACAAGCAGACAATTGCATTGATCCATGATAAAACTTGTAAGAAAAAACACATTATAAATAATAAATTTATTATATTCAGAATTAATAAACTATATTTAAAAACATTTAAAATATTCTATTCTAAAATCCTACCTGTTGAGTCATATTTCCATGCAATTTAAAGAAACCAGCAGAAATATCAATTTCTTTCAATAATTTTTGAAGAATATCTGAGAATAATATGAAATGATAATCCACAACATCTTGTGTTGACATAAAAATGAGTGCTTTTAATGGACCCATAGCACATTTGTCTATAATAAATGCTGATAAACACACTAGACGCAATTTAATGGGTACAATGATGAAATATTGTTCAAGACATGAAGAGACAACAAACTCGTCGGAAGACATAACACGATCGAAAGTAGTTGCAGATACATCCACGATTGCAGGAGTAACGAGACTCATTCCAGCAAGCCTTTCAACATCTTAATTAATAAAAAAATGATAAATTTCTAACACATTCAATATTAAATTGCAATTTTAAATTAACTGCTTACCTTTAGATAATGTTGCAGAGAGAAGTATTGTCTGTCTTTGAAACTGATTATGTTCAGCTAGATATGAAACAATTTTTGAAATTGATTGTTCAAAGCCCAGTTCAAACAATCTAAAATAAAATTTTATCATTTAGAAGTTACTTTTAAATGTTAGAATAATTCTGTAATGTTTTAAATATAAAAAGTTAATTGTTTCTCCTTAAAATCTATATACTCATTTATAAACAATTATATATTTCAATTTGTAATTATAAATAAACAACAATAAGAATTATCTTTCTGTAATATTATCAATGCAATCTTATTCAGTTATAGATAGATAACTGTCTTCAAACTTCTGTCATTAGTAAGGATTAGCTTCATAAATATATAGGCCTACACAGAATTTTAGCCAATTCCATTAATATTTTTAAAATACAATAATGAGATTAACAAACCAAATGTTATCTCATAAAGAGTCCTAAACTTTTTATTTTCAGATAAAATGTTTTTGAAACTAACTGTCTCAGTATCACATCTTAAAGGTGTTCTAATTTGTATATATATATTACCAACATTCTAAAGCCATTAAAAATTCATAGCCATTTGTTCTATTACATGGCTTAAATCAGTCAGAATTCAAGAACATACACTCAAAAGTTAACATTAATATAAATATGACAAAAACAAAAAGAAAAAGTAAGATAAAAAAATACAAAACTTAAAATTAAGAAAAAGTCATGTATAATAATGTAAAATACAGTATGTAAATCTAAATATATCGTATATCAGATCATAGATAATTCTCAGATTAAATACATAATGCACAGAATTCAGTATTGGTTACTAAGAGGCTGGCCAATTCTCCCTGTAGTTGAAAATTGCTTTTCTCAAACTATAGAAATAGAGAAAAAATGAGTGTTCCTGATCAAAGGTTTTCACAAAGAATTTCTGTTAATTAATCCACCAACACTTTATAATTTCTTTTTGTTGAAGATCCATACCAAGTGATTGAAAAGTTAAGGAACCTAGATGCATTGAAGTATAAATTTATTAGTTTTGGATAACAATAGTTTGTCTCTTAAACTAGAGGCTATTTATGCCCCACTCTTATGACTGCTTTATCAAACATTCCAAGGAAAGTAAAGCAAATTATTCTAGGATATATACACAGTTATCTAGTCATCATACTTCACTTTTAATGAAAGGGTCTATTTGCCATGCAAAGGAGTATATATAAGATCCTCAGTGACCAGACATTTTGCAGAACCTTGCCAAATATTTGTAAAAATGCCTATTGTACAAGCTTTCATCAGGTATATTATCACAATTTATCATTATGTAACAATGTTATGATAGTCTGGAAAGACAAAAACGTGTATAAAGATTTCATCACAGAAATTAATTAAAATAGCATATGGCTAATCCTGGAACTGGAGCAAGTCAACAACTGCACTGTACATTTCTTAGATATTAATGTTTGTTACAATAAAGAATGGATGCATTATCACAGTGATGTATAGAAAACAGACTGCAGTTTCTTCATATATAAATTAAGGGTCTGAAGACCCATTCAAATGCAAGACAGTGACCTTCCAATCACTAATTTCACACTGATACCTTTAAATGCAATTATACTTTGATGTTTTACTAGTTTTTTTTTTAAGTGAATTAAATTACATGTATATAACAAATAAAACTAAAACTACCTGTATTGTACAGTACAGTACATAATAACTAAAACTAAAACTAAAATTAAAACTCAGGAATGTGACTAAAATAACATTGGTGCACATTGTGAAATTTCATTTTTTTAGTAGTATATAATTTAGGGCTTATCATACATAAGACCTTTATATTTTATCATTTATTTAACAATAATTTGTAAAATATATAATACATTATATATTAAAACCTATTTGCCAAAACACATTTTGGCTTATGCTCTCATCAGTTGACATATTATAGGTTATAATTATACTATTTATAACATACTGAGAGGCTTTAGGAAAACATTCTGAATAGCATTCAGAATGTTTTTCTAACTAGCTGAAAAACTTTAACACTTGCATAATGCCAAAACAGAAAAAGTATTCTTTTTATTAACAATTGCAGTGCATATTCAATGATTCCACTTTGAAAACTATAACAGTTCAATTATTACCACCATTCAAAACTTCAAATTATGACATAGAAAGCTTATTATATGAAATATGTTGCATGTCATTGATGATGGATCAAATGAGTTTAGAGTGAACCTGATAAATGCAATAAAAATGATTACCAAAGCTTGAAATGAAGTTGCACAAACTACATTGCAAATTACTTGACAAAAGCAGCTTTCAATTAATAACTTGCTAATGCCTCAAATAAATCAGAATTTCCACCAGAATCTGTTGACTATATAAAAAAAAACAGAACCAATTTCTACAGAAATGAGTGATGAAAAAAAAATGGCATTCAAAGATTTTATCGATGTTGACAATGTCTGCAAACATTTATGTAAAAATATCATTGCTGAAGTAAAGAACCAAGATGTGCAAGAAACCAGTAATGAACATCAGAAAGAAGTGAATCCTGTCAAGGACAATACACTGTTCACCCTATATATAAGTCAGAATAGCTCTTGAGCATTTGAGAGCCTTTCTAGAATCATCATTACTCATAACACATGATGATTAGAAAAGAGATTGATTGCATCAAAATCACTGTTAAGCAAGAAGCAATGAATCTTTAATGACAAATTCATGTATTTGAAACTATTAATAAAAAGTCTATGTTTTATTATTTTGTATATTTACATATGTAAAAACTAATAAAATACATTCAAAGAAAAATTCTAAAAATCCAGGACATAATATATTTATATAAAAAATACATTGTAAAAATACAAAGTATTAAAGACCAATATGAATACATTATTCTTGTCTTCTCTGTCGTCCTCTTTCAACATCACGGGAACATGATCCACATAGCAGAGTCAACCTTTCTTTTTAGGCTACTATACTTCCACACCTATATTTATGTAAAACAGGTAAAAAGTTCCTTGACTAATTTTTCTTTGCAATGTAAAAAAAATTTTTATGATGGGTCCATAGTCAGGATGGAATCCAAAGGTCTTTAATACTTTGTATTTTTACAATGTATTTTTATTTAATAAAATACAATACAGTATTTTCAAGTCTAACTATATTGTTTGTATTGTGCTATTTTATGATCTAATTAAGATAAAATAGTTTCCATAAGTTGTAATTTTGTTAACTCAAAATTTTTCTCCATTCCTCCCATTTTAAGTTATAGTGCATCTACTATATATTGTTATGTTTTATGTAATAAATCTTCAACTTATTTATTATATTTAAAGTTTTAAATAATGGGTTTGTCAAACTCATTCTAGAACTTCAACTTATACTTACCATTAAAAAATTAGTTTATAAATATGATAATCATTTAAAATAATCATATATTGAGATAAAGCTTATTTATAGTTGTAACTTGATTATCTTTTAAATTTTATTTTTAAATCAATAAAATTAATATAAAAATCTGACATACCTATCTGCTTCATCAATCACCAACCATCTGACATTACTGACATTCAAATTAGATGTATGTTCAATATGGTCTAGTAATCTTCCAGGAGTTGAAATTAATACTGTAATACCTTTTCTTATTCTAAAAAGAAATTTTAAAATAACTGATCTTATACTTTGATTGAAAAAATAATTTACTTAATTATTCTGCTCAAAAATATATGCCTTATGTCTTAATTTTTCAAATAATAGAAGAATGAATCCTCAATAAATATACAGGGTGATAACAAAATCCTATATACATTTTAAAACAATATAACAGAAAACATAATCAAATAATACACTGACCTAAAAGTTTGTGGTAATAGGACGACTCAAAGAATTTACACAGGTTTCAATACACCTCTATGTCAGCACCATTAGCAGCTTGCAACACATCTAACCAACATTCAATCTTACATCCTACATTATTTAGCATCTGTAGTAACAGTTTGGATACTATCTGCAATTTTGTTTTTCAGAACAACTAAATTGTTGTAAATGTAATCTTTAACAAAACCCCACAATAAAAAATCCTAAAAAGTTATGTTCAATGATTGAAATCATGGGATAGGCCCATCTCTGCCTGTCTGTCTGGGTGTAAGGAGTCAATTANAATAACGGGTTTGTCAAACTCATTCTAGAACTTCAACTTATACTTACCATTAAAAAATTAGTTTATAAATATGATAATCATTTAAAATAATCATATATTGAGATAAAGCTTATTTATAGTTGTAACTTGATTATCTTTTAAATTTTATTTTTAAATCAATAAAATTAATATAAAAATCTGACATACCTATCTGCTTCATCAATCACCAACCACCTGACATTACTGACATTCAAATTAGATGTATGTTCAATATGGTCTAGTAATCTTCCAGGAGTTGAAATTAATACTGTAATACCTTTTCTTATTCTAAAAAGAAATTTTAAAATAACTGATCTTATACTTTGATTGAAAAAATAATTTACTTAATTATTCTGCTCAAAAATATATGCCTTATGTCTTAATTTTTCAAATAATAGAAGAATGAATCCTCAATAAATATACAGGGTGATAACAAAATCCTATATACATTTTAAAACAATATAACAGAAAACATAATCAAATAATACACTGACCTAAAAGTTTGTGGTAATAGGACGACTCAAAGAATTTACACAGGTTTCAATACACCTCTATGTCAGCACCATTAGCAGCTTGCAACACATCTAACCAACATTCAATCTCACATCCTACATTATTTAGCATCTGTCGTAATAGTTTGGATACTATCTGCAATTTTGTTTTTCAGAACAACTAAATTGTTGTAAATGTAATCTTTAACAAAACCCCACAATAAAAAATCCTAAAAAGTTATGTTCAATGATTGAAATCATGGGATAGGCCCATATCTGCCTGTCTGTCTGGGTATAAGGAGTCAATTATGACCCATTATATTTTGTTTTGGGATTATTTTCAGTTCATTTTCTTATTTATTTTGGGGCACTTTATTTTGTTAAGGATAGACTACCACACCTCACCAATGTTCCCTCTAATTTTTTTTTGTCGATGAGCGGAACACATACTTTTCTGAGCAAAAAAAATTTTTGCTGAGCAGATTCTGAGCAAAAAAGTTTTCTGTTCATATATATATAAAAAATCTTATTTTTTTCTATAAAAATTAAAATAATTAGTTATAAAGTAGAGATTAAAATTAATTTTAAAACATACTTTTATACAAAATATTATCTCTTGTCAATGATTTAATATATTTAATTGAAATATACGTAGCAATAATCATGTTGCAGACAGAGTGAGAAATAAGTAAACAAGAATTCAAATCGGTGTGCATGCTCGNTTCGACCAATCCTGTCGCGACACGAGTCGGCGATGACGTTTTACCGAATTATACGAGTTTTTTTAGCATGTTTGTACGAACACTGTCGCAACTTTTTTGCCGTGATATAGGAATTCGAATTATAGGAACCCGTGTTATAGTGGGTCGACATTATAAAGTAGAGATTAAAATTAATTTTAAAACATACTTTTATACAAAATATTATCTCTTGTCAATAATTTAATATATTTAATTGAAATATACGTAGCAATAATTATGTTGCAGACAGAGTGAGAAATAAGTAAACAACAATTCAAATCGGTGTGCATGCTCGCCTGCGCGGCACATAAATTCTCGTGCACGGCAACAATTTGAGCAGTGTGCGGCCATGCAGCTTAGAGGGAACATTGCACCTCACATGGACAAAATTCTAAATTCTCACCTTATTGTGATGATTGCTGGTGGCAACCTATTACGTTGTCAAACCCAGAAACAACATCTTGGGGAAAGACTTCCTCAGGAAGTTAAAAGAATAATTTTCTGCCCCAAATTGCCACAAAAAAAGAACAATTGTAAAATTATAAAAGATTAAATGTAAAGACGATGACACGACTTAAAGAAAGATTACTAGAATTATATGAATGTTAGCCACTTAAATATGTAAATATGGTCAAATGGGAGTAATCATGTAATGTCACCACAACTTCACTATAAGAAGAAGGTGAAGCTCAAAATTGAACAGGGTGGAGCTAAAGATCGAGCAAGGTAAAAGCAAGAAATATGTTGCATGTCATTGATGATGGATCAAATGAGTTTAGAGTGAACCTGATAAATGCAATAAAAATGATTACCAAAGCTTGAAATGAAGTTGCACAAACTACATTGCAAATTACTTGACAAAAGCAGCTTTCAATTAATAACTTGCTAATGCCTCAAATAAATCAGAATTTCCACCAGAATCTGTTGACTATATAAAAAAAAACAGAACCAATTTCTACAGAAATGAGTGATGAAAAAAAAATGGCATTCAAAGATTTTATCGATGTTGACAATGTCTGCAAACATTTATGTAAAAATATCATTGCTGAAGTAAAGAACCAAAATGTGCAAGAAACCAGTAATGAACATCAGAAAGAAGTGAATCCTGTCAAGGACAATACACTGTTCACCCTATATATAAGTCAGAATAGCTCTTGAGCATTTGAGAGCCTTTCTAGAATCATCATTACTCATAACACATGATGATTAGAAAAGAGATTGATTGCATCAAAATCACTGTTAAGCAAGAAGCAATGAATCTTTAATGACAAATTCATGTATTTGAAACTATTAATAAAAAGTCTATGTTTTATTATTTTGTATATTTACATATGTAAAAACTAATAAAATACATTCAAAGAAAAATTCTAAAAATCCAGGACATAATATATTTATATAAAAAATACATTGTAAAAATACAAAGTATTAAAGACCAATATGAATACATTATTCTTGTCTTCTCTGTCGTCCTCTTTCAACATCACGGGAACATGATCCACATAGCAGAGTCAACCTTTCTTTTTAGGCTACTATACTTCCACACCTATATTTATGTAAAACAGGTAAAAAGTTCCTTGACTAATTTTTCTTTGCAATGTAAAAAAAATTTTTATGATGGGTCCATAGTCAGGATGGAATCCAAAGGTCTTTAATACTTTGTATTTTTACAATGTATTTTTATTTAATAAAATACAATACAGTATTTTCAAGTCTAACTATATTGTTTGTATTGTGCTATTTTATGATCTAATTAAGATAAAATAGTTTCCATAAGTTGTAATTTTGTTAACTCAAAATTTTTCTCCATTCCTCCCATTTTAAGTTATAGTGCATCTACTATATATTGTTATGTTTTATGTAATAAATCTTCAACTTATTTATTATATTTAAAGTTTTAAATAATGGGTTTGTCAAACTCATTCTAGAACTTCAACTTATACTTACCATTAAAAAATTAGTTTATAAATATGATAATCATTTAAAATAATCATATATTGAGATAAAGCTTATTTATAGTTGTAACTTGATTATCTTTTAAATTTTATTTTTAAATCAATAAAATTAATATAAAAATCTGACATACCTATCTGCTTCATCAATCACCAACCATCTGACATTACTGACATTCAAATTAGATGTATGTTCAATATGGTCTAGTAATCTTCCAGGAGTTGAAATTAATACTGTAATACCTTTTCTTATTCTAAAAAGAAATTTTAAAATAACTGATCTTATACTTTGATTGAAAAAATAATTTACTTAATTATTCTGCTCAAAAATATATGCCTTATGTCTTAATTTTTCAAATAATAGAAGAATGAATCCTCAATAAATATACAGGGTGATAACAAAATCCTATATACATTTTAAAACAATATAACAGAAAACATAATCAAATAATACACTGACCTAAAAGTTTGTGGTAATAGGACGACTCAAAGAATTTACACAGGTTTCAATACACCTCTATGTCAGCACCATTAGCAGCTTGCAACACATCTAACCAACATTCAATCTTACATCCTACATTATTTAGCATCTGTAGTAACAGTTTGGATACTATCTGCAATTTTGTTTTTCAGAACAACTAAATTGTTGTAAATGTAATCTTTAACAAAACCCCACAATAAAAAATCCTAAAAAGTTATGTTCAATGATTGAAATCATGGGATAGGCCCATCTCTGCCTGTCTGTCTGGGTGTAAGGAGTCAATTATGACCCATTATATTTTGTTTTGGGATTATTTTTACTTCATTTTCTTATTTATTTTGGGGCACTTTATTTTGTTAAGGATAGACTACCACACCTCACCAATGTTCCCTCTAATTTTTTTTTGTCGATGAGCGGAACACATACTTTTCTGAGCAAAAAAAATTTTTGCTGAGCAGATTCTGAGCAAAAAAGTTTTCTGTTCATATATATATAAAAAATCTTATTTTTTTCTATAAAAATTAAAATAATTAGTTATAAAGTAGAGATTAAAATTAATTTTAAAACATACTTTTATACAAAATATTATCTCTTGTCAATGATTTAATATATTTAATTGAAATATACGTAGCAATAATCATGTTGCAGACAGAGTGAGAAATAAGTAAACAAGAATTCAAATCGGTGTGCGTGCTCGCCTGCGCGGCACATAAATTCTCATGCATGGCAACAATTTGAGCAGTGCGCAGCCGCACAGCTTAGAGGGAACATTGCACCTCACATGAACAAAATTCTAAATTCTCACCTTATTGTGATGATTGCTGGTGGCAACCTATTACGTTGTCGAACCCAGAAACAACATCTTGGGGAAAGACTTCCTCGGGAAGTTAAAATAATAATTTTCTGCCCCAAATTGCCACAAAAAAGAACAATTGTAAAATTATAAAAAATTAAATGTAAGGACGATGACACGACTTAAAGAAAGATTACTAGAATTATATGAATGTTAGCCACTTAAATATGTAAATATGGTCAAATGGGAGTAATAATGTAATGTCACCACAACTTCACTATAAGAAGAAGGTGAAGCTCAAAATTGAACAGGGTGGAGCTAAAGATCAAGCAAGGTAAAAGCAAGGCTTTCAAGTTCCATTGATAACGTAGAAGTTTCTTGGTGACAGACAAAATTAATTTGCAAAATTTCCTTGTGAATTTTAGATAGATCTCGATTTCATATTTTTGCTTGTTGGTTTTGTGGAGATAATTCTAAGATAGATATAATTTAATTTATAAGTCCCCAAGAGTTGAGAAAAGTTTCTTTTAGTATATATATTTGTGTGATAAAATATCTTTTTCTTATATTTTGAATTTTTTGTTACCTTTATTTCATTATTGTACATATTTGGGCTTACAAGGGGACCTTACGATCTCGGAAATTCAGTTCAGGGTGAGACTTTGCAGGTTAGTAGTATACCTCAAGGGTGTCCACCCAGAAGAATTGTAAAGTGCACTAGCCAGAAGATTCCAAGAAAAAAGGCTCTAAAGTTTTAAGTGCAGCTCATATACTGATCAATTTTACACTAT